TTTTTTTAAACACCCGCAACAACAGATAGGAGTGAAAAAAAAAAAACAAAAAAAAAAAAAACAGATACTCCATGTTGTGAGTGGACAACCAGGCTGCCAGGTGACAGCGCAAGCAGCAAGGCAAGGGTGAGGGAACAAGGACGACGACAGCATCATTTTTGTGCATTTTATTTTTTAATAAAAGGTTGTGTGGAGGCTAAGAGTATGGACAGGGCCCTGAACGAACAGTGGAGAAGCAGCCCATGCACCACCCAGCCTGACCCAGGCACAGAGCCTGAGAGAGGAGGGCATCAGACTGAACTGATAGAGCACTTAAACCACCAGTACTTCCTCGAGTCGTGCCTGTTAAAGCGCTACGATTTTAGGAAACGTACAGGCCACTACAGGAGCGCCCAAATTCGTCCAACTAGAAACTTTTCTACTCTATTTTTTTCCCCGGCCGATAGCTGGGCCAAGTACTGGTGGTTTAAGGTACCCAGGCGCCCAGCGAACCCYCCCCCCCCCCAACACTGTGTGTACCATGAGAGAGCCATCACACCGTCCCATAGAACACCCATACATACTGAGCCCCCGCCTCGGACAGAACACTACAAGGACAATACAGACTATCAGAACACCCCATACAACAGCCTACACAACCAGTGGGACCCTCCCCCCAAGGGGTACCTGGCCCTGAGATGCGACTCCGCCGGGGTCTAATCGAAAGGGACCTTGCAAGAGCAGGCGCTAGTCCAAGCAAGGCCATTTAGCCTACTTGCTGCTTGTGCCACAAGTGTTCACCTAAGGTGGGCCGGCTCTCGAACCCGCAACCTGGATTGCGGGCACCCAAACAACCGGGCTCCGATCAGTCGCTAGATGCAAACCTAGTGAGTGTATGCGAATGGCCACTACGTCGGTCGACACCCTGCCGGTGTACTTTGCGCAAGGCTGCGGAGTTTTGAACCCACAACCTTAGACCACAATGCGCATTTCCAACCGGTGCCCTAACCACTGAACAACAATTCAAACCTTCATTTCATGTCTATCACAATTATAAAAGAAAATAAACCTGTCACGATCGTGTGACACCTAGAGGCCAGGCCATTACTGCCTGACCGATGTAAAAGCACTCGTGGCTAATCATCAAACCATGTGCTTATTGTTTTGCAAAAACGGGATGCACTGCCCAGTGCCCAACACTTCCGTTAGAGCGTGGAATGCCGAGATGATGCCGCCGTCATGCTGGGGCCAAAATTAAATGGAGTGAAGGTTGAAAATAGTAAAAATACTTCAATAATGAACAGCTCATTAAAACTTTATACACATCGATAACATTCGGGTGCATGATAGGTAGGTGTTACGAAACTGAGTTGTTTGAGCTTGTTTCCATATCCAATACCTTGCACTTGCCGTAAAATGTGTATGACTCCCCTCACTTTGCTGTGCAAAATCTGTGTCTTCTCTTCCTTCTTCTTCAGGCGCTCCTCCTCTTCCTGCTCTGACGTGTACATGCCGTCCTCCTCCCCTGTCCCTTTCGGCAGCACATCATCATCATCATCATCGAGGTTCTGTGGCTCGTAGACAATCGTTTGGCCATCTTCACCTTGACCATCCGGATTGAAGGCCTGCCACGACTCTTCTCCCGCCGTCTCAACCAAGGCGTCATTGTAGTCATGACGACGAACAACGGACATATCTCTCATGTCCGGGTAACTTTCTCCTGCAGGTCTTCCACGACAGCCTCTTTTCTTCTTCCTGGCGCCACGACGACGGCCTCTTTTCTTCTTCCTGCCTCGATTCTCCTGGTTCCTTTTCACCGGAGTGAGTAAGTCCATGCATACCCTCGGTCGAAAGTTCAAGCGTATGCGTACGCCGCGCTCAAAAGGGACCACACCCGTGTGCCGCTCTTCTGGCAACACCAAAGCTGTGCTGGGATCAGCTTGGAAAGCCCACTCTGCAGCTCTAGAATGATCCTGGGACTCTTGTGCGGCTTTTGTAATGCGATCTGCACTCTCGTCGATGCCATCATAGAGGCCTTCAAGCAGTGCAGGCTTCTCTGTTAAGGGGATCGTATCCGATTCGACAATTGGCGGAGGTGAGCCGCCACTATCAGCAACGTGCCAATCACCAGGGACGCAACGAAACTGCATGGGAGCCACCACCCCAGCTGCTGCAAGAGTGCAATGATCATTGTGTGCGCGGCTGCAGGCAGCAGTCGCCGGGACTGTGGAACCATTGGATGACGTATTCGTACTATTCAAAAGCATGGTTCTTTCTTGGCATTCATACTGATTGGAGCCGGCAGGTGTTGTTCCGGGATGTAGGCGGTCATAAGTGTCCCATGCACACAGATGACCATATTCAGCAAATGACACCTTGCTCGCCAAATCGACATTGGACAGCATGCTATTGAATACCTCATCTTTCCATCGTTCACATACAACATCAGCCTCCTTATTAAGATTCTCGAGCAGTTCTTCCGAATCGGGCCATTCGCCTTCAGCTTGAGCATCAGGAATGTTACTCTTCTTGGCAATGATGCCTGTGCCACCTGATCGATCACCATGATCCAGTTCATCGTGGAGATCAGGGGTCATGACAGCAAAGTCAACATGACTGGCCTTCTTTCTATGCAAGTCAAACTGGTGCATACTGGCACTTCCTCTTGGGGCAACCGGCATGGCTTTCATGATCCCTCGACGAGACGTGCCACCTTGATGCGTTGGGATCCCTTGACGACTTGCGCTAACTTGATGAGTTGGCATCCCTGAGATCCCTTGATGAGTTGGGATCCCTTGATAAGCTGGGAGCCCTTCATCAGCTGGGATCCCTTGATCAATTGCACTCGCCTGATGAATCGGGATCCCTTGACAAATTGAGATCCCTTGACGAATTGGGCCAGCCTGATAAGTTGGGATCCCTTGATGAATTGGGCCAGCCTGATAAGTTGGGATCCCTTGGTGAATTGGGCCAGCCTGATAAGTTGGGATCCCTTGATGAATTGGGACAGCCTGATAAGTTGGGATCCCTTGATGAATTGGGCCAGTCTGATAAGTTGGGATCCCTTGATGAGTTGGAAGACCTTCGAGTTGATGAGCTGCGCCATCTTGATGAGTTGGGCTCTGTTGATGTGTTGCCGCAGTACTGGCATGGTTGTTGCCCAAGAATGCAGTGTGCAGCGAGCACTTCCGCCTTTCGTAGCGTTCACCATCCGCGCAAGGAAGACGCAACAAGTAGGGTTTCTTCTTGCGGCGGCCGCTTCTTTTCTTCCTCGTCCACTGATCTGTCTCTAGAAAATTCAACAGGTCATCGTAGTCCACATCTTCGCGAAACGTGTCGTCCCTGTTATCCTCTGGTGGCCTGTCCAGCTGCCTGTGGATGGAGAGGCATGAGCGCGGGATCAGTGATCCGACGAATCGCAGTGGGACGCGCTGCTTGCGCTTACCTCTTCTGACTGGAACCGGCAGCACAGGAAGTGCAGGAGTCGTCTTCCGCCGCATCTTCACAGAATCAGTTACTATTTGTTGATGTCTGGAACAAACACCCTCCATTGATGTTGCAGTGATATGCTATGGGTTGACGGGGTCGCAACTTCAAGCTGACAGGCTGTGACAGCTGCTCTGATGATTGACTAGTACTTTACCATCTAGTTCCACAACCCTGCAGCACAGTCACACAGCGCAGCCGAATACCCAGCCATATGCAAGGGCCCAGGGGTAAAGGTTGGCACACAACCCAGTCGCCGACAAAAGTGGTCATTTAGGACACAACCGCATGCATTGACCCTCCCACTCGATCTCTTCTGATTTAGCACACAACCACTTGACCCTCCCACTCGATCTCTTCTTTCAAACGTTGACTGCACGCAAGACTTAGTGCAGACAGTCAGAAAACATGAGAAAATAATGTATTACAGTATTACATACTATTACTTTAATATTTTCATAAATTTCAGTTAAAGTTAGACTTCCTGTCCTTCGGGACATTCGTTGTGAAAGGAATGAGAGAGAGAATCTGGGGTATTTTAAAACAACACACACACACACACAC